TTCTTATGAGGACATCTGTGCTACAATACATATCTAGAGTGATTATAGGATTCGTTTACTAAAAGAACCTTGGGGACAGAAATGAAACATGTTATGTGTACATAATCTCCATGCCTCTTTAAAATATTTCATCTTTCTAGGAGCTCTGGTAGCATGGTGGCTAAGACACTTGCCTGCTAACCAGACGGCTGGTGGTTCAAACCCACCAGCCACTCCTCGGAAGGAAGGTTGGGCAATCCTACTTCCGTAGTGATACTGCCTCAGAAACCCAAGGAGGGGTCGCTATGAGTCGGGGCCGACTCCACGGCACATAACAACAACAACAACAACAAGACTTAATATAAATCCCACTTAGCCCTTTATTTCAATCTTTGTTATTAACACATTGTTGCTGGTGGGTGCTGCTGTGTTTATGATTTTCGACTTATATACACCCCATGTGGCAGAGCAGCTCTGTCCTATAGGATATTCTGGGCTGTAATTTTCACAGAAGCAGATCACCAGGTCTGTCTCCTGTGGAGCTGCTGTGTGGGCTCCATCTGCCAACATTTCAGCTAGGAGCTAAGTGAATAACCATTGCACCACCAGGATAACTTTTCAGAACATTATCCCAAGCCATTGCCTATCTCTTGCCCAGTTACTTAGCAACATTACTCATCAGGGTCCCGTCCTCAGCATGAGCCTTTTTGCTATATTCTCATTGGTGGCAATAATTTTCAAGCCTCTTCCTCTTCACATTGTGTGCTCACTTGATAGTTCAAAGTTTTCATTATAGTGACTTCCTAGGATTTGGCATATTTTTCCCCTTTTCCTAAACCTAGTTTTATTATTCTAATCATTGAAGACCCAGTGAAAACCCCCTTCATTTTTCCTTATATCACTCGCTCTTCTGAGTTTGTTCCACTATGCTCTGCAAAATGCTTTTACATTACCATTCACTCATAAATATACCTTGATATATTTGCAAAATCTTGGCTAGAAATGTGTAATCACTGAATGGGAGGGGAGAAGTATGAATCAGATTTGTTTCATCCTCCCCCATTGCATACAATTTTGTTCAAAACAAGGAAGGCAGACAGAATACTATGATGTAAGGTGACAAATAACAAATGTCACTATGTTTGGTGAAATTTCATCTCCAGCGGGAAATCCTTAGATTAATAAGAGGGAAAAAAAATTACTTGTTCTATTTCATCTCTCTTAGACTAAAAATGCAAAATTAACATAGAATTAGTAGTAATTATCATTGTCTTCAACTCCTCAAATGCACTTATACCTGCCTTGATTAGGTTGTCACATACGGATGGGGTTTATGTTTTGGTACAGGGTAAACAATTCTGTCCTGAGCCTCATGGTCCCTGAGTTCTGATACCAACAGAAACTAAGTAAGAAATTTGTCTACTGTGCCATGCCACTGCTTTGAACATACTGTCCTGATTGATGACTAATTATTTTATACATAAGATGTGGAGTTTGTCTCATGTTCCAGGTAACATGAAATGTTTTTTCTTTGGCTGAGTATAATTAATTTTACCTACTGTAATAAGAAGTATCTTTCGTGATGCTTTGGTGATGACTAACCTGTCTGACAAGTGTCACCGTAACACTATGTATTTTCATTTGGAGCAAACAAGTTGTGATTCAAACGCAGCTGGAGCCATTCTTCCTCTTAAGAACTAAGATGCAGACAACTCCCATTCCCTAGATTTGGAAAGATAGATATTCTCCCTCCACTACATTTTTTTCGCAGCGTGCTTACATATTCATGTTTCTCTCTGGCTCTGAGTTCTTGCTTATGCTGAATTATTTCAGTTTAGAAATTGTCTTGTCATCTCATGTACACTATACCTGGCCTACACAGATTGGGTATATTGCCCTATTAGTTAATTTCCTCAAGGAAAGCTTTATTAAAAGTTTTGGGAAGGTACAAGAATTTATGTTCAAATAAGGCAAGAAATATTTTAAGTCATAAATTTATTTCTGATCAGTAGAGTGGATAGGAATGCAGATCTAGAATCACATTGCCTGGGGTAAAATCCTGACTTTACTATTAATCATTGTGTAAACTTGGGAAAGCTTCTTCATGTCTTTGAGCTTCAGTTTCTCCATGAGTAAAATAGAGAAGATAATAGCTCATATAACAAAGAAATTTTGAGGGAAATTTTTATACCCATTACTTTATGCAAATTACTTAGACTAGCCTAAGATACAGTATGAGTTCAATAAATGTTTTTAATTAATTAAAATATATTTAAAAGTTTTTAACCATATCCAAGCTCATTTTTGTGTGGCTTGGTCCTTGTCCCTTCCTCTGAATCATCCCCTGTTCACTCCAATACCAAATTCTAGTATTACTATTATTTTGTTTAATATAGAGCAATTTAGCCTTTGTTGCATTAGCTAATATGACCAATGTCCTTTGGAGTTACTGCTTCAAGTGACTTATCAAGGTATTTGCCTAAACTAGAACATATTCCTCTCCAGATGAAATTCTGGAAGCAAATAATTATTTATATATTTCCAATTCATAGGGACCTCTATTGGGTTTCTGAGATTGTAGATCTTTACAGAAGTAGATTGCCTCATCTTCTGCCTGCAGAGAAGCTGGTGGGTGTGAAGCGTTGGCCTTCTGGTTAGCACCCAAATGCTTTACCCATTACACCACCAGAGCTCCTTATATTTCTGTATATATGTATACTAAAAACCAAACCAAACTCACTACCATTGAGTGGATTCCAACTCATAACAACCCCCATTGAGTTTTGAGGCTGTATATCTTCAAGGAAGTAGATTCCTCCATCTTCCTTCCATAAAGCAGCTGGTGGGTTTGAACCACTGATCGTCTGGTTACCAGCCAAATGCTTTATCCACTATGCCACCAGTTTGATGGTCCAAACTGGCTATGCAACATTGAAGGTAGACTCTAATGTGTCACTACACTTTAGTTATAAGAGACTGACCATTGATCAAGGTCACTTTCTGAATAAATGCAGGGTCTAACAAGGCTATCTATTCCCCAAAACCAAGTTCCTTCTAATGTACCTAGTCAGTTGTCTGAATAATCTCATTTAATCCTCACAGCAATGCCACATGGTTAAAACTATTGTTAACACCTTTTACAAGTAATGAAACTGAGGCTTAAAGAAGTTCAGTGAGTTGACACTACGTAACGATTGCCATCGAGTAGAATCTGACATCGAGTAGAATCTGACTTTTAGTGAGTCTATTGGATAGAACTACCCAATACGGTTTCTTTCTAGAAGCCAAGTGCCACATCTTTCTCCAGAAAAGCAGCTGGTGGTTTGAACCAGGACCTGACAATTAGCAGCTAAACTTAACCACTGAACCACCAGGGGTCCTTGACCCTTCATCCAAGTAGTAAATGTCAGAGCCTATTCAGACAATCTGCTTTGGCAGGCATATTCATTAACAATTATGTTTTATTAACTCCCATTCCTAAATAAAGAGGTTCAAATAGAGTATGGGATCCAGCTTAAATCATAGTTCGACGATTTCTTCTAATATGCTCCACTTTGAGCCACTTTAAAAGAAAAATAATTCCCTAAAGGAATGCTAGAGGATCCCATTGGAATGCTAGCAATTCAGACAAACTTAACTCAAGGAGTACTGTTAAAAGACATTTGCTGCTAGCTTTAGCCTTCCTGTTGGTTCACAAGATGCAAATAAAATGTTTATGTTAAAGCCAAGTGGGAGCTGCACTCTAAAATACTGGTAAAGTAAAGATAACTGGGAGGACAAGATCAGCAAGCTTTTGACAAAAGCCACAGATTGAATAGAGCTTAATAGTTGGAGCATGAAAAAATAAAGAATGCCAAGATCTTTCTTTCTCTCTCCCTCTCTCTCTCTCTCTCTGGTTTTTTGGTTCAGCTTTTTCTGCTCATCTGTTTGGTGCCTTCTAATAGAAGAGCAGTACTGGATTACTGATTGGCATTCTCTGCAGGAGACCAGCTTCACAGTGGGGTGACCCTGTGATGAGCTAAAGACTATTTAAAGTCCCAGCGAACTGATTCAGGGACTAAGATTTTACTATGCTTGGGGGATGAGAGTTGCGATCCCTTATCGACGATTTAGAACAACTTAAGGCTCCGACAGCTCCATCTCGGTTTTCTAGAGAAAAAATATTCCTTCATGGTCTCTATCAGATCGGAAAGCGACACAGCTTCTGTATATATTCCGCCTGGGAGGTGTTTCAATCTTTAGAAATTGAGAAGCCTGTCCATCTGCCCAGGCGCCTGGCTTTCTGGAACTGCCGAGGAGGAATTTGTGTTTTAATTTAAGGAACTTGAGGATTTTTTTTTTTTAACTTAAATTCTTCGCTTATTTTAAAATACAAGAGATACATACTCAGGCTTTTGTATACATTGGGAAAATCCTTGTGACGAAGTATGGTATAGCAATTCCTGATTTAATTTCCCCGGAAAAAAAAAGTATCTTCTCCGTATTTGCTACTGGGCACGACTATCCTAGTAGTCTGCCTCAACAGAAAATGTGTCCATGGGGAGAGAGGAAGAAAATGAAAACGGTACTTTGTATCACCACCTCTCCTTTCCTTGTCCCTTCTCCCTCCTTCCCCCTTCCTACCTTTGCCACCCCTTCCGCTCCTTCCTCCTTCCCGTTTCTGCCCTTGCACTAAAGATGCCATTTCCCCTTGAGCTCCCCCTAGTCCCCACCACGCTCTTTATAGACCGGCAAGGCTGGAACATCACAGCGGAGAAAGTCCAGGAGGAGTGTGACCCAGTAGGATGGGCATCTGGGGGAGAGAAGAGGGCAGTTCGCTTCTTGAAACGAGGCTAGACTAAGTGGGCAGAGAGAACCAAAGACTGTATCACGAGGGCAATGGGAGCGCCCCAGGGAAGTGGCAGTACCCGGGGCCCGCCCAGGTGTGCGCAGCTCCAGTACCAGCTCCCTATTGGCGGGGGGCGGATAAGGGGGGCGGAGCATATAGGAAGCTCCGCCCACGGGCGCCAGGGCGGGTGAGAGCGCTTCTCCTAGAGTAATCCCAGAGTTGGGCTCTGTCTTGGACTCGGTCCTGCAGCGCCTCTAGGCTGCGGATCCGCGCTCCAACCACCTGCTCGGCTCTGCGGCCTAGGAAGCGGAGACTGAGGAGGGAGGGACAAGGCGGGGGGAGGAGGAAAGAGCCAGTTTACACACGCCTTCTAGTTCCTCCACTCAGAGCAGCCCAGAGACCGCTGCTGCTGCCGCCACCGCTGCTATCACTGTTGCTGCTATAGTTGCCGCTGCCGCTGCCAGCTGAGACCGCCTGGACTCGCCGCCTCCAGTCGCCACCCCCAGAGATTCCTTCCTAGCACCTGGGCTTTTCACACGCACTACCACTGCCATTATTATTATTACCAGAGGAGGAAAAATCTGAGATCAGCCAAAAAGAGCCACGTACACCTTTCCAAATTACTCAAGTGTCTCCTGGGCAGAGAGAGTCATCCAGCCTGAGAGGAGCAGCCAAGGGGGGCCGAAGGCAGGTGTTGAGAGGAAGGAAGGAAGAGTTGGGGACACCGCCTAGTGGAAAGTTGCGTGCCCTAGGAACCCGAAGGTGCAGCGCCACAGCCCCGGGGGCAGCGTGTTCGCGAGTAGCCGCTGCCCTCAGCGTCCTGTCCCGCGAGCAATCGGGCAGCGAGGGGCCCAGAACGACGCCCCCTCCTGCGGCGCGGACTGTCGGTAGCCCGGGAGGAAGAGGAATATGGCTTCGAAGGCGGCCCCCTCCTGTCGTCTGGTCTTCTGCCTCTTGATCTCCGCCGTTGTCCTCAGACCAGGTGAGCAGGAACCATGGAGCAGCCCCGGGCCAGCGCGCGCCGTCTGGGCAATGCTCCCAGGAGCGTGGGGGAGGTAGGACGGGGTCATCCCTGCGCTGAGCTGGCCCGGAGGTCAGTCACCTGTGCCTCTTGTTTGGGCTCGGCTGGTTGGGTCAAGTTTGGGCGGTGAGCGGGGGCAATGGGTCAATCACCTGGAACTTTGGGTGCGGCTGGGGCCGCTGGGGTCGGCGCGCAGTATTCGTCAGTTTCCCCTGGCCCTTGCTCTTGGCTTGGCAGCCCTCTCACCAACCGTCTTCTAGTCGTTGGGTATCAAAGTCCGCCTCTGAGCTCCAGCCAATTTTCCTTTCGCTTGGTTCTCTGAGGAAGTAACTGCTCACAATTTTTCGTGATAAATCCCACAATAACTTCCCCTTAGTAGGAGGTGAGAAATGGGTGGGGAGAAAAGGACGGCTTCAGTCACCCCCTTAAAACAACAAGAACCAAAAAAACAAAACACCTAGTGTTTAAATCCTAGTTTGTAACGACCTCCCGCTCCCTGCCCCCCCTCCCCAATTTCCTGGGAGGTGGTTGATGAAGATGAGGGTGACAGTAAGCAAAGACCGCATCGTCAACTGGAATTAGCAGCCAGGTTCGTGAGACGTGAGTGTGAGCGGCTACGAATTTCCAGGACTTGGGACTCAGTGTCTGTTCTCAGTTCTGAACTGAGCCTCAGAGAGAAAGAGTCAAAACCCCCAACAATTAAAATATCTCTCGGGAATCCCTTCTTTTACCCCAGGGACATCCCCTGGCCTTGTCAGCCTGGTGCCCTCTGACTTGAATTGGTCATAACAGGGCATTCTGCAAGCTCGTGGTGACTTGACCGAGCCCCAGGTTCATTCCCTCTTAGGACTTAAGGGTTTTTTAGAAACATTTTTTCCCTCTCCTTGAAGTTTTGATCTTCAAAAACTGTTGCAAGTTGAATTCTCACCTCCTGTTATTTGGCTTCTGTTTGTTCCTGCCCCCCCCCCCTTTTTTTTTAAGCTTTTATCAAAGAAAATGCTCACTTCCTTTCTCATCTTTCATTTCTACACATCTCTTCAGTTGTTGGCAAGCTGAGGCCTCCGAAGAGGTTTGAAAATCTCTTAATCACTCCCACAAACGGGAGAAAAAGTGGCTGGAGTCCAGATCCTGAGCGAGAGATTACAAGTGATGTGAACTGCTGTTGCTGCTGCTGCTGGTGGTGGTGTGTGTACGCGTGTGTGTGCGCGCGCTGTGTGTGTGTGTGTGTGTGTGTGTGCCCTCTCCAGATCTCTATTAAAGTTAGCTTCTGGGTGAGGTAATGAGCTCACCTGCTGTCCTGAGGTTGGAGAAAAAGGCGTCTGTGACGAATCTCTGGCACTGGGGCGGGAAGGTGAAATGAGAGTTGAACCCGATTTAAAGAAGGCGGGGGCGGGGAAAGAACACTGGGGAAGTGGGAACTGAAGACCCAGTTGCGTTTGGCATAGTGTGAATTTCACTTTTCCAAGATCACAGTGTCGCATCAGGGAAGGAGGGAAGGGCACTCTAGAGCTGGAGCGAATGAGAAAGTAGAGTAGGGGAAGAAATGATGTAGTTTGTAAAATTCAAAGATCAACACGATCATAGTTCCTTTTCATTGTAAGCCTCTGGCGATCAGAGAATGCGAGATCTCACCCACCGCCCACATCCCGGGCCGCACGCATACACCCTATTTCCCTTTTCTTGAGGTTGCCCTGGAATTTATTTTTCAGTAGGGCCATGTCTGAGGACTGTTTTTTTCCCCCTACACATTTAATGCTAAAGGGAAGAGGTTCCGCCTTCAGACTTCTTTTGCAACCCTTATTCACTTGGTGCCTCTGGTTCGCTTTTCCAGTAGGCACCGAAATGCGCGCATTTGGCAACCCTGGAGGAGCACACTTGCGTCGCTGCTTGCCGCAGCTGGGCTGAGGTCGGCAGTCTCAGACCCATAGACTACTGGCTTTCCTGAAGTTACCAGGCTTGCATATGCACGAAATTCTCGGTGCTGTGTCGGAGTGTTTTAAAATAAAGCATTTTGCCACCAAAAGGCATTGTGTGCATACTCCAGACCCAAGTCCTGAACATCTAGCACGCCTCCTTCACAGGCTTCTGCATAGCTGAGCCCCTTGGGGATGCGGTGCCAAGGGCTGTCTCAGTCAAAGGGGCTAAGTAACTTCCCCACCTGGCCCCCTTCACTTCAGGAGCGGTTTTAATATTGCGTGTTCAGTCAGATCTCGAGGACAAAAATAGGAGTTTGTGAAACTGCTCCTCCCTCCCTCTGCTTCCCTTTGCAAGTATGTGGTTGTTTGGCCTGTAGATGCTTAGGTAGTCATTGATATATTTTAGACATGGCATATTACCTGATAAAGGGAGGGGGTATATATGAACCACAAAAACTGAATTCAGAGATAAAAGCGATGAAGTATGTCCTCAGCATCTGAGGTAGGGAGAATCTCATTATTCTTGTAGAAAGAGCGTCAGCCTGTGGTGACATTTTGTATTGCTTTATAAAGGGCTTGCCTTGGTTATTTACAACAAGGAGGTGGGGCCAGCAGTTAACTGTTTCTTCACTTGAGTCATCCGTGTGCATCCTTCCATGGCATTTGTTTTTCACTGCTTACAGATATAAGGTTAATTCCAGGACTTAAGGACAATTAGAGTTTTGTATCAAGAGGATATGAGGTTTGAATCGTGTCACTTTAGCTCAGGAGGCCTTCAGAAAGGCATGAACATTAATAATGTCATTTTCAGACTATCTTATGTGGAGCTTTTAAAATGAATTCATTTAAAAGCTGAAAACTACATAGTAGCCAGTAAAGATTGCTTTATTCCTTAATGATTTATTTATTCCAATAGCAATTTCCAGTTTAATGGGACACTATCTGTAACCAATAGCTTTTCTAGGTTTGGCTCAGGTCCATCTACCTGAAGACACATTTAATATTTGGGGGCTAAAGCTTTTTTATATGTCAAATAAAAGGGTGAGATAAGAATCTGTCCTGTGAGATCTCTTCAAGTTCAAAAAAATTCTGTCTAATGTCTTAAGGAGAAAATGTTTATTTGCATACTAGAAAGTATTTATAGGAAATTGTATTTTTCTAATGCTTGCAGTCAGTTGAGCCCTATTACTAGTATATCAACTTTTTTTTCTACTTTTATAAATTCATGATAAATACCTTGTGTTTACCCCACCAGGTTTATACTGGGGAGGAGGTGATAGAGAAGAATTAATTTCCCATTCTCCTGAAAAAAAGAAAAAAAAGAATCCAGAAGTGGGAGAGGTTTTTAGGTTTCAGAAAACCCCACTTAATGTGGCCTATCCCTCCTGAAAGCCTGCCTCTATTTATAGTTCAGGGGTAGTACATATAATTACATATAGTTCCTAGAATGAGATGTAAATGATAATTGATGCTAAGGAATTTATGTGGTAATGCCTTAAATGTGCATTCTGGTGGCATAGAGCCTAAGGCATTTGACTGCTAACTAGAAGGCAGGCGGTTCAAACCCACCGCCACTCCTCAGAAGGAAGGTTGGACAACCTACTTCCCTAGTGATCCTGCCTCGGAAACCCAAGGAGGGGTCCGACTCAATGGCAGTGTGTTTGTTTTTGTTTTATACCCCCCCCC